AGCTTGGGTCACCCAAACATCACTTATCTTTCCCAGTGTAGCCATGTCATTAATAGTCTATATACCAAGAAGTTATCTAGGTATGTTAGAACCAACTTTCAGCAATGCCATAGAACTGTAGCTAGATGTTTTCCCGTATTGGTTTGGATCACCTTGTCTGGCCACCTGAGTTGAATATTTTAGAGGGATTTACTGTCACTGTTGACCCATTCACATGTTTGCATTGTGGGATATGGGGTAAAAAAGCAAGGTATATTTTGTGAATGGATATTAGCAAACTTCTTGGTATGGAGATTTTCATGGTGGGGTACTGAAAGTGGTTATAAATGCCCATCTGCAGCAGCTTTTCTCCCCTTTCTCTCTTTACACAGGAGACTAAGCAACAGCAGGAGCCATTAGCTCCTGTTGCTGTCAATCAAAACATGTGAGAAGGGAGTTGGGGTGGGGCTGAGATGTGCAGTGTGTGTTTATGGATGCACACAGCCTGGCTTGGGATCAAGCCCACACAAGTGCCCCCATAGCAAGCGGCTTGCTATGGGGAGACTCAGAGAAGAGGAGGATCCAAGATCACCTGCAGGGGATCCATGAAGAGGAGGTTGAGAAGCAGGTATAACATATTTATTATTTTCAGAACAAAAGTCATTTTACAACTGCTTTAAAGTTTATGTACGGCCAAAACTTTTTTGGTTTAGGATAGAGTAAGATTAGATTGTTTTCAAGTTTTTATTGCTATCATTGCTGTCCCCAGTAAGTAGATCACACATAATACAGTTCTTACCAGAAAAAGAAAAGAGGGGAGATATTCCAAAAGGGACACTTGTTCTGGCCACAACTGTCCAAGAAGGGAATTCTCTTTATAGAGATTTTCTCACTTTCTGTTACATCTTTGGGCAGGAAGTGGATGGAGATCTTGCCAATGGGTCATGGACAACAAAAAATAAACTGAGAGGAGTTCTAACTCTTCCCTATTGTATATTATAAAAAAAGACATCTTGTAATTTTGCTTTTGTAATAATGCTAATATTTACTAAAACAAAACGAATAAAAATCAATGTAATATGGCACCGTTAGGGCATTTTGCACACTGTTGGCATACAGAAAAGGTAGGGATCTGCAAAACAGTTCTTTAAAGGATACGTTCACCTTTCGTAACATGTTACACTCATATTCAGGGTTTAACTTGTAACATGTTCCAAACAGACCGGCCCCCCACTCCTCCCCACTTTCCATAATGACAGCTAGTGGTATCTTCTCCTCCCCCCTAGCTGTCACAATTTAAAAAAAACAAGGCCAAGCAGGGCTCCGCCTGCCCGGCCACACCACTCATTCACAGTATTCGGTGAATGAATGAACTACAAGTCCTGACAGCCTTTGCGGCTGTTGGTTTGTAGTTCTCAATGAATTACCATGGCGCTGTGGAAGGCCGTAGTAGTTCATTGATTCTTCCTGTCAGTATATCTGCTTGCCTGTACATACCATCCGGGCAAGCAGATATACTGACAGATCTGCAGGAGACCTGCATGGCACCAGCGATCTGCGATGTTAAAAGGTGTACTTATCCTTTAATGTTCTTGCAGTGTACAAAGATCACCCAGGGGGAATTGGTTTCTCAGCAAAAAGTGGAGTTAAACTGGGCATACACTGTACAAATTCTGGTTGGTTCTTGAGGAGCCAGTGCATGGCCCTGTCGACTGCCTCCTGTCCAGCATACCTCCACTGAAAAATTGAAGGAGCTGGGTGGAAAATTGTTGCCTGGACAGTGGCTGCATCCAGTTAGATTCAGCAATTTTTTTGGTATTTATTTATTTATTTATTTATTTATCGAGTTTATATAGCGCCAAAGGGTTTGCTCAGCGCTGTACAATAGAGGGGGGACAATACATGAAACAGTACAGTAACATCAAACAGCACACAAGGGGTAAGAGGGCCCTACTCTTTCGAGCTTACAATCTAGGAGGGAGGGGGTAGAGGTACAGGAGGAAATGGCTGTGGGGGATGGAGTGGTAGGAGGAGGGAAGGGCAGCGGCTGTTAGGTGAGGGTGGGGTAGGCTTCCCTGAAGAGGTGGGTTTTCAGGGAGCGCCTGAAGGTGAGGAGGGAAGGTGACAGTCTGATGGATTGGGGTAGTGAGTTCCAGAGGATGGGGGAGGACCTGGAGAAGTCTTGCAGTCGTGCGTGGGAGGAGGAGACCAGGGAGCAAGATAGAAGGAGGTCCTGTGAAGAGCGAAGGGTACGGGTAGGGTGGTACTTGGGAATCAGGTCGGTGAGGTAGTTAGGGGCAGTGTTGTGAATGGCTTTATAGGTCAGAGTGAGCAGTTTGAATTTAATGCGTTGGGCAATGGGGAGCCAGTGGAGGGAGAGACAGAGGGGGGTGGGCAGAGGTGGAGCGGCTGGTGAGGTGGATGAGTCTGGCAGCTGAGTTCAGGATGGTCTGAAGCGGGGAGAGCCTGCACTGGGGTAGGCCGATGAGGAGGAGAGTTGCAGTAGTCAAGGCGTGAGATAATCAGGGAGTGAACGAGTAGTTTAGTGGTGTCTGGGGTAAGGAAGGAGCGTATTTTGGCGATGTTGCGAAGGTGGAGCCTGCATGTGTTTGTGAGAGATTTGACATGAGGTTGGAAGGAAAGGTTTGAGTCCAGAATGACGCCAAGGAATTTTGACAACCAGCAGGGTAAGCTGTCAAAATGCAATAGATACAGCAGAAGATTTGTCCATTTGCACTGTATAGCATGGATGGAGGAATTAGTGTATGGCCAGCTTTTCACTTTAAGAGATAAAAGGAGCCAGTAGTTATACAGCTTCAGAAGAACTTGTAACCCTATGGCAGCCAGTGTGCTAAAGAGTAAACGAAAATGGAGTTAATAATATTTGTCTGTGCTTAGTTACGCCAGAGGTATCAAGTATCTTTATAGACTTGATGAAAATTCTTTTTTTTTTGAGGGGGTCGCAAACAGAGAGTGAAGTTCACCCCTGGGAATTTTCAGATGACTAGTTGCTGGTTCCCTAGCCACATAGAGAGCAGTACATGCCTGTCTTTTTCAGACACTAAAGGAAAATGAAGAAATAAAAAACTGTAAAAAAATCAGTTATACCTATTAACTCGAAGTCTTCTTAAAGAACACAGAAATCACAATTAATATATATTTGATTGATTTTTGCAGCAGAAAAACATTTAAGCATTATATGAATCAGTTATATAGATGGGTTTACGGCATGTCTAGCAGTATTGCTTTAAAACAAGCTACAGCCTAAAGCATGTACTGTGCTACTCATTCTAATTCAATTGTGCATTCAAACAGTGCCTCGGCTTTTATGTCTATAAACAGATTACTCAAATGTCCACCACAAAAATAACCACAATAAAATAATGCCACTCACCTTCAGGTTCACCACACAGTGTACACTGAGATTCTAAAAAGAAAAGGAAACAAAAATGGAACATTTCAGCATTTACCCGTGAAAACTGTTACAGTACATAGTTAAAACTGCCAGTTTACAATTTAAAATTCCAGTAATGCATTTTTAAAAGGCTTACATGTCTTACTGCAGATTTGTCTCTTGAGCAGAGCAGATAAGGGAAAAAAGTTTAGTCTTTGCAGTATTTAGGCTGGTTATGCTCATCTGATAACTTTTAGACAGCAACAATAAATACAATATTGTTTAAAGGGAACATATAGTGTATTTAACTTTTTTTTTTAATTTTACTTTCCCATTTTACATGCTTGCTTTTTAATAAGTCGTTTTGGCAGTAAATGTAGAGATTAGTGGATTCCCAGCTTCTGGAGGTAGATAAGCCACTCCAAACACTCTTTCTTCTTTGCAGCTGTTAAAATTAGAAATCAGTCACATATCATGAGCCAGACAACTCACAGGCGTGTTGTGAGAAGGAGTGGTAGAACACAGCCACTATAAAGCACTGCAAAACAGAGCATGCTTGACATAAGCCAATATGGCTGTCTTCATGTACACATTCAAATACAATCTGCAACAAAGTTTAAAAAAAAAAAACAACAACACAAATATCAGCTTGCCTCCTACCCACAGTAGTTGTACTGCGAGTGGCTGGCTGGGTGACGTATTGGTACATTGCAACGTTTCTGTCAGGTTTGGGGTGCGCCCCCTGCTGACCTATGCTGTGATTGCAAGAAAATATCACCAGCACACCATGGATCTCCAGATCACATTGTTACAGCAGATAGCAACGTTTCAGAGCCTCGCAGGTCCCCTTCATCAGTACCTACTTACATGCACAGCTAATTCTACAGAAATGTGTGCGTTGGGAAAAGTGAGTTTATTTTTTTATTTTATTATTACAGGTACTTATATAGTGCCGCGCAGTACTATAAATACAAATACGGTGCTAAATAAATCCAACGTGCATATGTGAATATGCTCGTTGGATTTATTTAGCACCGTATTTGTATTTATAGTACTGCCCTGCAATTTTTTTTGATTTATGGTTTACATGTGGGAACACAGTACATGCTAGCTGCAATACTTGTTTCATAGGTGGTCCATGGCGCTGAGGGTCTCTCGTATACTTATATAGCACCGTCAATTTACGCCGCGCTTTACATATATATTGTACATTCACATCAGTTCCTAACCCTCAAGGAGCTTACAATCTAAGGTCCCTAACTCACATTCATACATACACATACTAGGGCCAATTTACCTACCAGCATGTCTTTGGAGTGTGGGAGGAAACTGGAGAACCCAGAGGAAACCCACACAAGCACCGGGAGAACATGCAAACTCAGGCAGGTGGTGCTCTGGTTGGGATACGAACCAACGATCCTAGTACTGCCAGGCAGAGTTGGAACCAGGGGCGGACTGACCATTTAGAAACTCGAGCACTGCCCGAGGGCCCGGGGTCAGTAGGGGGCCCCATGAGATGCCCCTGGAACCTTTTTCATAGGGTTTTTTGAGTTTTGGCAAGGACACAGGGCCCCATGATCCCTTATTGCCCAGGGGGCCCCATGAGTTGTCAGCCCTTGGTTGGAACCCATGCTGTGATTAGACAGTTTGGAAGCTGATTTCAGCCAATGATTTTGACTGAAGTAAGCTGATCATCTGTGACCATTTACACACAGATCTCTGTGTTTACAAAAACACAGAAGTCTGTTTACAGGGAACAGTGATCTACCTGTTTCTTCTCCCTGCTAAGCAGAGAGAAAAAAACAAACAATAAAGTAAAAGAAACACACATTACACATTGTTAAGCACATAGCCCTTGATTGCCCCTAGATGTTAACCCTTTTCAAGCCAGTACATTAGTACAGTGTCCATGTACAGTGCTATCATGATCACTGCATTAGTGTCACCAGTGATGTCAGTGTCTCCTATTGACCCTCCCAGATAGTGTCTGTTAGCACCAGATTGTGCCACCAAGGGGGCACTTTTTATGTCTGTAGGAAAAGAGAGTTAACTTCCAAATATGGAAAGGTTTAGTCACAGTAAGAGCTGTGAAAATGTAGAATAGACTCCCTTAAGAGCTGGTTCAGGCCAGCTTAGTAGATTGTTTTTAAAAAACAATCCTGGAGTCTTTCCTAAATGCAAAAAAATATAACGGGATACTAATTTTTATAGGTAAAGTTGATTGAGGGAATATCCGATTGCCTCTTGTGGGATCAGGAAGGATTTTATTTCTCCTGCTGGAGCAAATTGGATCGTTCTTTATTGGGGTTTTATTTTTTGCCTTCCTCTGGATCAACTGTGGGTATAGGATTGTGTATATATTCAACTGTATATTTTTCCCCCCCTACTGTTGGTTGAAATGGATGGTGGTTTTTTTTTCAACCAGACTAACTGTGTAACTGTATGTGTAAAACATGCATATTTGATCTTTCAATAGAAAATTAGTTTGTCAGCTGGATCATGCATGCTTATTTTGCCACCACTGAATTTTATTGGGAAGCGTTTGCTTAAAAAATGTGGAAATCCGATTGTTTATACGTAATCCAAAAAATAACCCCAACATGACAACTAGTCAAAAGGTTGCCGTAAACAGATGTCAATTTTAAGACACTTTTTAGACAACAGGCTGTTTTCTTCACACATGTTGCATGCAAAAATGCAGTATTTCATCCCATTCCTACATAAATGCCCTCTAGAGTTAAGCAGTTTCTGATATAGGCCAGAGGTGGCACATTGCAGGCATGAAATTAATGCTTTGCTGATGGACAATGTGTGTGGAACAAGTTAGCTCAATACACCCTTTTGCTTACAAAGTAAATTAGGTGCTCTAAAGCCCTAAGGACCTATATCCAAACAATCAAGAACATCTTTCTAGTCATGTGCAATATAGCGAAACCTGCTGATCACACTACACACAAATACCCATGATCCCATCTTGCACTTAATTACCATCATTCACAAGTTGCGAGTGGCTGCTTAAGACTGCATTTACATTTATAGAAATCCCCCCTGGACAATATCAACAGATGAATATTCCACCTGCTCTAGTCCCTTATGATGAGCAGCTCAGAGAAAGCAACTCTCAAAGCATTTTCATTAGTCTCCTCAGTCAGAAGTTTCATTGAGTGCTAGTAATAAACATGTTCTTCAGTATGGCAGTGTTTATTCAGTCAGGATGCCTGTCTGGTGGCAGAATTACAGGGAATTACATTGCTGTGAGCAGTAAAAAGGAGCCAGCTAGGCCGAGGAGATGTAGTGGTTTTCTAAGTATAATCAGTCACAGTGTTCTTCAGTCAGCTTCCAGCTGAGCAACTCTAGGACATGTGTGTGAAGAGCTGGCTCATATATATTAGAGAGAGAACTGGCAGCTCCGATAGGCAATTAATCATTCAAACCAAGAATGACTTTTCTAAGAAGTGTTTCTTTGATCCTTCTCCTGACAATCTCGGTGAGGCTTTAACACATGACACATGCCTGGTATAGTGACAAACCCTGCTGACATAATGAAATAAGTTCACAAACTAATGGTAGAGTTAAGTCTTCATCAGTCTGGGTTATCCATCATAAATGAACTCTGAATGACATAGCCACATACACCACTGAAGTAACTGATGAGCAGGTATTGGACTCGCGATTTAGAAATACATTGTACAGCATGGTCAAAACGACCCAACAGTAAAACATTTTTTTTTTTTGTTAATTTAAAAATATAACGACAGACAGTTATTAAGTAAAGTTGGTCATAGATGGAGCAATCTTCTTTCCTGCAACCTCAGTTTGCAGGAAAGAAAATCATTCTATCCCCTATCAACACTGACTGTGTTGATGGGGGAAACCCTCCGACGGAGCCATTGTGTTCTTGCGGCGGGGAGAACACATTGATTACTGATAGCGGCTCTAATAGCTGCTAACAATCATAGCATGTAAAATTCAACAAGTTGGTTGTACCCAAGTTGTGTAACAATCGAATTGGGTACAATCAGTCTGCCCATAGTCTGGCCACCTTCTATGGCCAGCTTAAATCTCCTAGTGTAGGCATGTCCAAAGTCCGGCCCGCGGGCCATTTACTGCCCGGGGGTCGGTTTTATACGGCCCTCCAACAGCCCTCCCTGCTCTGTGTAATGTGGCCCTCCCACGGCCCTCCCTTCTATGGCAGACAGTCTTCTGCTTGAGAGCAGAGGGCAGTGCGCATGCCTGACTGTGGCGCATTCTCCCTGGTCAGTGTAAATGCGGCTGTCGAACGGCCCTCCCTTCTGTGGCAGACAGTCTTCTGCTTGAGAGCAGTGCGCATGCATGACTGCGCCGCGCTGGGAGCGACAGAGGGCGGTGACGTCAGGGCCGGGCTTCCAGCGTGAAGTGTGTTTCTCTTCCCCTCCCGGCTGCCGAGCAGAGACTTCAGCTCCAGCTACCTTTTTCACCCTTCACATTAGTGCAGGTAAGTTTTTTTTTAATTTATTTTCAATACATTGTGAAAACTCAGCTGTCAGTTGATCTTAATGTTATGAAATGAAAAGTGTGTTGTTTGCAATTAACTTGGCATAAAATAATTTATTTGCATTTAATTGTAATGGTTCAAAGAATGTTCGGAAAAATGTTCGGCCCTTCACCATGTTCACTTCATCCAATCTGGCCCTCTTTGAAAAAAGTTTGGACACCCCTGTTCTAGTGCATTTAACAATGCCCTCCCCTCAGATTGACAATGCTATTGTTTCCATATGTTTCATACATTCCACTGGACACTGTAGTCACAGGAGCAGTGCGCTATGCCCCCTCAGCTGGATGATGTACATGTACATGATCCAGCGCATGTGCCACCCAGCCGCAGTAAATGTAAAGTGGGTGGGTTGCAACTGGTTAAGTGAAGGTTTGCAACTTTTTAAATAAATTAGCCTGATTATGGAAGGAATCAAACTACTTTCAAAGATGTGACAGAATGTTGCAAATCATTGACATACTAAAAAAAATATATGGGTTGATTTACTAAAGGAGTATGGGTCTGTTAACTTACAAATATATATTTTCACTTTGCAAAGTAAATGTTGACATATGACTAGTCTGTCTCCATAGGCATTTGACAGAACACAGAGTTGTTTTACTTGCTTCTGATATAATTATAGTGCATATGATGTACTGCAAGTTAGCTAACTGTCTCATATCAACCTTTAATGCAAAATGACATAAAAAGAATAAATAGTCACATCTGTTTGGAAGCCTTCGCTGTAAATACATTGTAGATTCATTCATTTTTACATTTTTCAGACGTAAAAAGACAACAATCAATAGATAATAAATGGAATGGCCGGAAACATTTATACAATACGCTATATTCAGTATCAATCAATAAAGCAATTCAATATGAAAGGTCTATTTCTGTGTTTTGACATCATAAGAGAATGATAATGCAACCAGGCAAGTAATTTTACCTAAACAATGCATGTACAACTGTACTCACAGTAGTGTAAAACATTATGATAATGTATATTTCCAAGGAATATGCTAATGTAAACAAACATGTCTTTGTATTGTATCTGGCCATTTTTATTCAGGTTCTAGTTTAGTTTATTTTTCTAAAGTAATGGTACTTTAACATATTATCATGCTTTTAGAGATGCCCAACATTCCAGCATCAATATACAGTATATTGCCAAGAGTATTGGGACACCCCACCAAATCACTGGATTCAAGTGTTCCAACCACCTCCATGGCCACAGGTGTACAAAATCAAGCACCTAGATATGCAGACTGCTTCTTTTATTATTATACAGGATTTATATAGCACCAAGAGTTTGCTCAGCGCTTTTCAATATAATGGGAGACAATACAGCAACAATACAGTTCAATACAAGAGGGTTAGGAGGGTCCTGCTCCTTGGAGCTTACAATCTAGGAGGGAGGGGCTAGTGGTACAAAAGGTAGTAACTGTGGGGAATGGAGTGGTTGGAAGAGTAGAAGATTCCATTATTAGCTGAGGGCAGGATAGGCTTCCCTGAAGAGATAGGTTTTCAGAGATCGCCTAAAAGTGAGCAGAGTAGGCGATAGTCTAATAAATTGGGGTAGAGAGTTCCAGAGGATGGGGGAAGCTTCTAAAACATTTGTGAAAGATTGGGAAGCTCTCAGGAGCTCAGTGAGATCAAGCGTGGTATCGTAATAGGTTGCCACCTGTGCAATAAGTCCATCCGTGAAATTTCCTGGCTACTATATATTCCACGGTCATCTGTTAGTGGTATTATAACAAAGTGTGAGCAACTGGGAACAACAGCAACTCAACCACGAAAAATGACAGACCAGGGTCAGTGCATGCTGAAGCGCACAGTGCGCAGAAATCACCAATTGTCTGCCGAATCAATAGCTAAAGACCTACACACTTTGTGTGGCCTTCAGATTAGCACAACAACAGTAAGTAACAAGCTTCATGGTATGGGTTTCCACAGCCAAGCAGCTGCATCCAAGCCTTACATCAGTGATGTAAAGCATGCCACCACTAGACTCTAGAGCAATGGGGACGTGTTCTCTGGAGTGGCCAATCACGCTTCTCTGATTGGCAAGCCAATGGATGTGTCTGGGTTTGGTGGTTGCCATGAGAATGATATTTGCCTGACTGCATTGTTCCAAGTGTAAAGTTTGTTGGAGGGGGGATTATGGTGTGGGGTTGTTTTTCAGGG